AGGGATCAGAGTTAACTTAGGAGCCGGAGCATGAGATGCGTGAGCAGCATCCAGAGTTGTTTGCAAAGTAAGACTTCGAGGACGAAGTCTGATTCTAGTGGGGGAGAATTGTAACATCCAGATTCCCAGGTATATTATTTTATTCATTTATTATTGGAGTTTGTGGAGGGACTTGGCAAGTTGGTGCTTAGACTCGCCGAGTAGGGTTGCGAATTCTTATCCGGATTAATGACCGGACTCAATGGGTTCATGGGTGGACTCTGCGAGTCCGCGTTGTTTAATGAAACCCTAATCTCTCAGGTTTGAGACCTATTTAAAGGCCCTTAGGGCCGTCATTCGCATCTATCAGTCCCTTGAGAGAAACCCTAGAGCACTTGAGTGTGTTGGGAGAAAGAAGAGGCCATTTTTTACCTTTGAAGTATTGTTTAGCAAGGAAAAGGAGGTTTTGGCCAAGAGGAAGCAAAGGAGGTGGACATTCTGTGGATTTGGAGCTTAGAGCATCCCATTTTAGGTAATATTTTGGCTCCACTTCTGTTGTTATGATGATCATATGGATTTAGGGTTTCTTGGACCCTTTCTTGGCTAGATTTGATGTCCAATTAGTCCCTATTTGTGATGAGGCCTTAGATCTGGATCCATAGAGGTCCAGAGAGCCTTACTCATCAAGCTTTATGAAGATCAATGGGGGTTTTGACCATGGGTTATGATAAATGGGGCTAAAACATCATATAGGATCAAATAGATGTTGTTTGTGCATCAAGATATGGACTTTACGTGATTATCATGCTTGGGAAGGTCGGATGTATGGATTAATGGAACGGATCTGACCTCAGGAGGTCAGTTTGGTTTGTGCATGGGATGGACTCGCCGAGTCAAAGAACAGACTCGACGAGTAGGGTTAGGGTTTCCCTGTAAATCACACAGTTAGTGACTCGCCGGGTTGGGGAATGACTCGGTGAGTCAGAAGGGATCTAGAGGACATGAGTATGTGCTGGAACTCGCCGATTTTCCAGAAGGCACTCGACGATTCGGGTCAAAGGTTGACCGTTAACCAGTGTTGACCAGGGTTGACTAGTGTTGACTTGATGGTAGTAATCACACAAAGTCAGGAAAGTATTAATGAGAGTTGTACTTATGATATAGGAGGACGATAGGTCGGGAGATTGGGCACGAGTGATTATCCGACATCAGCGAGGTGAGTCTTCTCACTATGCCTTACCCGATGGGGTAATTATGTGTGACCGAAAGGTCTTATGTGTATGATGTATATATGATGTAAGTTATATGTGATATGTTATGTGATATGAGTATGATGTGGACCGGAAGGTCAAGATGATATGGACCGGAAGGTCAACAGAGTTTGTGATGGAAATCCCCTGAGACACTTGGATCGGAAGATCCTATGGCCTGGAAAGGCGTATGTGCAGTATGTGGTATTTTGGGGAACTCACTAAGCATTCGTGCTTACAGTGTTATGCGTTATGTGTTTCAGGTACTAGCGAGGATCACGGGAAGGCGCCAGCTTGATCAGTACACACTTGCAGATGCATGTTTTTGAGATCTTGGGTTATAGGTTATGTTATGTATTTTGTGGAAACATTGGATGTTTGACTTTTGGAAGATTAAATAATGAAATGTTTTATTAAAAATTAAATGAAAAATTGTTTTAAATTTTACGGTGTTACACAATATTAGAGTTATATTTACAAAACCACGGAAATGGATATGTTTGATGCGTGTGTATAGTCCCACCAAGTTCTTCTCATGCACGACGTGCAAAACATTTGACCTACAACTATAAGCATAAAGCTTAGTGAGTTCCCCAGTATACCACATATTCCGTTATACATACAATGCATCCACATAAAGTCATCGACTCTAGCAATGACCTAACATTATACAAACAACGTACATATCGGTATAGAACGTGTGAATGTTATGGTCCTCCCATAGTCTTACAATCATTCATTGTTGCAGTCCTCCAACAATCTCAATTGCTATTGTCCTCCCATAGTCTTACGTACGGTTGCCATGGTCTTCCCATGGTCTTTCTGCCATGGTCCTCCCATGGTCTTTCAATCGAGTTATATGGTCCTCCCATGGTCTTTCATACAATTGCCAAAGTCAAAATCCTTGTCTTTCATATAATACATATAGTTGTATGTGGTCAGTGATCAGATAAACAACAGAAACAAGTGGTCCAGTCGAAATCGAACAATTAGAGAAGAACATCGCAATAAAGTATTATGCCAAAAGTTCTTAGGTTATCCAACTTAAAGTACATATAACCAAAGTTATCATTACCACATAATCATGTAAGATAAACACATAACATATTACATACTCTCGGCAACTAGTCTTCCCTAATTACCTTGCCATTGACCACTTCTCAATTAATTCCTTCGATGGTCAATCATACCTAATCTTGATAACTGGCCTTTCCCAGTCACTCTAGCTCAATATAACTCATAACAGTATCATACAATCAACAGGTAAGACCCTACTTGTTTGATATACTATGACACTACGTGTCCTACACTATACATGTATAACAAGGAGTTATCTTAATCAACTACAATACTTGTACTCTAACAGTACCTCTATCCTATCATGCAAAGGATATATAATGAGATACGTGGCATAGTGAGAAACTCACTTGAACTGAAGACCCAAAGAAGCATAACAACACTCTCACATCTTGTATTAGTCAATCCTGCGAACTGACCAACACCAAAAGAGATGAATCCTCAATCAACAATCCAAATCCACTAATTTTGACCCAAAGTCAACCTAGTCAAAAAGTCAACGGTCAACAATAAAAAAAATTCAATGATCCACCAAGTTAACAAACAGTACGACGTGGTGACCTCTCAGCTACATCGTGGGGATGTCAGGACAAAACAGTCGACACGCAGGACATTGTCATGTTGTGGGCCCTCATTGGCCACATCGTAGGAATTCCAGAACAACACAATTATGAATCAACATTCCACCATGTCATGGGCCCTCCTTGGCCACGTCGTGGTTGCTGGAAACCTCTAATTTTTCATTAAGAGATTAATCCATATAGATCTAGATCAAAAACTTTAGATCTAGTCATTCTCGATGATTTAATGGATAAAGTTTCTAACTTTACCCATTAGGACCTCATTCCAAAGCAAGATCTGCAACCCTAAGTCCAAAATGACATAAATCCTTCACAAAACATGCATGGCTCCAAGGACAAGATCAAGCTACCAACTTTCCAACAAGAAATGGTCCAGAAGATAGTCCTTAGGGCTTAGAAGGGGCTGAAGTCATCTCAACTCCAACCACACCACCAAAAGGTACCAAAAGCATAAAAATTGATCATAAGCTAGATCTAACAAACTATAAATACAGGTTGAAGCTTTATACTCACAGTGGTCTAGAAATGAAGTCCTTTACTAGATCTACATTTCAGTTCTTCACCAAAATACTTTGCAAACAACTTGATCTTCAAGCTCTACACTAAAACATGATAAATAAGCATTCAAGTGGCCTAGAACATCAAGAACACCTTAATGACACTTAATGGGGCTAGGGTTTCGAGATAGGAGGATGAAGGTCGAAGAGAATGACCTAACACTAAAGTTAACATCCTTAAATATGGAAGGAAACCCTAAAAATCATGGGTTTGGGCTGTAACAACTGCCATGTTGTGGCCATCCACTTGCCATGTCGTGGCAACCATGGCAGATGTGATCTCTAGTAAATTTCCATGTCACATCATGGTCATCCATGCACCATATCGTGGCATAGTGTTTTTCTAAAAAAAACCTTCTTTGATATTTTTAAATATTCGGTTGATCATTCTGGAAAACGGATGTTACAATTTGTAAGACTTGATTTATGGGTTTGTAAATGAACATCTGGATACTTAAAAAATCACTCCCTTACCCACGATTTTTTTTTGTTTACCTGCATGAAGAAGACGTGAAGAAGACGGGTCTCCTAAATCATTGTTCATCGGTCTTCTTTGGAGAAAGCTATTTGAAATCAATTCAACAACAACGATGAGGTCTTGATTTTGGATCTAATAATCCCCCTTGATTCTCTTTTGCTGCACTTGGAATACACAAAAGAGGGAGAGGAGATTCTTTGGGAAAAAGGAGACACATAAAAAAGGAAGCAGGTTCTTTTTTTAGTTTATGAATTTGACCAATAACGAAAAGGGCCTTGATTCTTTTTTCACTTTGCCACATAAGCAAAAGATGTGATAGCTTAAGTGATAGCTTATGTGACATCCAAGTAAGCACAAACATGGCATGCTGGCTTCCAACATGGATCCCACCATCATCGTCTTCTACCTCATTCTAACCTAACAAGACCTGCATCAGCAAAACACAAAAATCAAAGAGAATGAGTCTGCTCTTCATTAATCAAAGCACATACACACAGATAAAATCCATTGTCACTGCTATATTATATTCAACTTCCAAACTTAATTGTTGGGAAACGAGCGATTCCATTGACTCCATGCTCGACCCTGAAAAATCTCCACCTGATTAAACGCATCTTTAGTTTTTTTTTCTTTGTATCTGTGATTGTTTTCAAAACCTGATAAACAAAAAGAAACCTACAAATCAATTTTTGGTTTCTTCTTCTTTTCTAGAAAATATTTCTAGGACTTGATGTTGAAGGTCATCACTAGCCCAATAGAATCATGTTATTGTCTAGAAGAAGTTAGCATGTTCTAGAATGATCCGGAAGATTCTAGAACATTATGGAATACTATGGAGGAGTCTAGAAGATGCCAAAAGATTCTAGAATACTCTAGAACAAGATGGAAGACCCTGGAAGGCTATGGAACATTCTAGAACACTATGGAAGGCACAAGAATATCTATACTTATGTAGGACATTATAAAACATTATAGAAAGATATAAAAGCTTGTAATTGATATAGAATATGGTAGATAGTTCTAGAATAGTCATGAATGTATGTAGATCTAGAAACTTCCTATAAGGAGGTGGAAACACCTATAAATAGGTGTGGAGCTCATTTGCTCCAAACAACCCAACATCTAAGTATCCAAGAAAAGCCTCCAAGTAAGAAAAGTGTACTAGTCTCTCAAAGTGTAAAATCTTCTTAAGTGTCTTAATAAAAGTATTGTTGTTTCCCATCATTGCAGTCATTTTCAAAATACTACTCTTCTCAATCCTTATCCTTGTCTTCATCTGTGCTCTAGTCCACCTTCTTTGCAAGGTCACATTTTGTTTCTCCTTCTTTTTAATCTTCTTTTCTATTCCATTCCCTTCTTCCATATCATCCACTTCTTCCACATCACATGGTTCTTTTTGTTCATGATCAACCATTTTTCCTGTCCCCTTTTCTTTCTTATTACTTCCTATTTCTTATTTTAAAGGTGTTGCACCTTCCTTCACTGGTGTTGCGTGCTTCTTCATTGGTGTCACAGGTTTCCCCACCACTTTTTCCTACAAAAATTATCAAAAATATAGAATGAAACAGGAATCATTTACTGAAGCTGAAAAAGAACTCACTCAAATATAAGAAAAAATAAGAAAACGAAGGGAAAATCTGTGAAAACTTTGTATGTTTTAAATCTGTGAAAATTACCAGGTCAGAGTATCGAATAACTAAGTGTCTTGGCCAACTTAGTATGTGTCTCAGTGCATCTTTGACCTTCACAATGAACTCCTCTTCAAGTGGAAAGGGTATTAAAGATTCTCCTTGAAAATTTGTTTCCATCATAACTTCAATGTTTTCATCTGTTACATAAACGAAAAAAATAATTAAGATCCAATCTTCTAAAAAATGAAAATATATAATTAGTAATGCAAATATTTTTCAAAATACCCGATGCACTTTACTTCATTATGGTTCCTTTAGCGGCTACATTTGAAGCAAATTCAACCGCAAGAAGACATGAATTATCATACCAAAATATAGTATGTTAGTTTGTAGAAAACGAAAATTATTTAAATATATTTTTCATAATTGTCTTCAAGGACTTACAAGTGATTCATCCTGTGGTTCTTTTTCAACATTTTCAATGACGACCCATACTTGGCAACTTGCGGCTTCAGAAACATTAAGTACACCTCTTTTTAGTTTCTCCAAGTCATCTTCAAGTTTGTTGATTCGTTTATCCACCCTCTCGTTCTCAATGTCCAAGTAATACTTAACATTGTTTGGTAAATAAAAGCAATGTTGTGGAGTTATAAATTTACCCATCCCTCGTACATGCCCACGTTGTTCCTGAGTACCCAAGGCTTCTGAAGGCACATTTTGTGTTCCACATGTAACCTCTCCAAAGCTTCTAGATTTCTGCAGCTCATCCTGTAAAAAATTGAGACAAATGTTATTTTATATATATATATATATATATATATATATATATATATATATATATATATATATATATATATATATATATTTGGCATTCAATGAAACTTACAATTTTATCAACAATAATCTTGACATCTGATTCGTATCCTCCTGTCTTCAACTCTCTTGCTTTTTTCCGCAACAGTGTCCTATCAATCTCCTCTTCCATCTTGCCAGTTTCTTGCATCTACATTATCAAGAATAACAAAGTCAATTAACATAAATATATACAAATAAAATAATCAATACTTAGTGGGACTCATACGATGTCATTAATGAGTCCGACATATCCTTTTCTGCTCAAATGATGATTGTATTTGTGATGTGTACAAGTATTTTTAGCTTTAATTTGTACTTTTCTCCTACATTAGAAACATTAAAATTGTAACTACAAATTTTTAACTTCCCATTTTTTTGTAAGTCTATGGGATATAAATGCATATAAGAAAAGTTTAACCAACCTCCTACTTTTTTGTAACTCTTTGGGATACAAAAACTTTTCAGTCTTCTTTCTTTATAAACGGATAATCATTCGAAGGTTTGAATAGATTTGCCTTGGGATATTTACTTTGTTTCTTAACGAACTTGGCATATAGATAATTCTTGAAGTTTCTCCACTTCTTCCTGATTGATTGGAGAGTTTGCATCCGTCTCTTTGGGTCAACTACAAACTTTTCGTGAAACATAAAAAAAAGGTTGGTTAAAAAACAGATCTAAACAGGGACAAAAACAGAATTAGGGACAAAAATAGGTAATAACAAGAAGAAACAGAGACTTACCAAAACATATTGCCATAACCCTTCACTTACTTCTTCACTAACTTCTAGCCAAGACGCGTAGGTTATGGGAACCATTGTTCTTGCAACCAAACTCTCAAAAATAAAGAGTTTTGTGGCTTCCTTTCCAACCGGGACACCTTTTTATTGTAAGTTATTACGAGTTTCACTTTATTAGCTTTTGCCTTATATATCGGACCTCTTTGTTTGGATTCTTCATCGTGATCAGAAGCTGAATCTGATTCCATGTCACAAAAATACTACCTTTTTCAACAAAGATTCAAATAAAATTAAGTACATTGTTATTTGTTGCAGTTGGAAAAAAATAATCACATTCAAAATCTGAATTATAAACATACCAAAAACTTTATTATTCTGCAAAAAACTATTTAAACTAATATGCCCTCGCCATCCGGGCGCGTACACAAAAAATCATCGTCAAGGTCTAATAAAGCGGAGTCTTGTGTTGAATCAAAAGTAGCATCAAATTCCAACATATCATCAGTTTCACCATTTGATCCATACTTGTACATCCTATGTGATGTGAATCCAACAACATGCAAATTCGCATCTTGTTGATCTTGAACATAAAAAAACCTATCTAGCTTGATTAGCTAATATGAAGGGTTCAGACTTCTGACCAAGCCTATCAAATTTAACTACCGTGAATCCTAAATCATCAATTTTTACTCCACGACTATCAACCCAATCACACATGAATACAGGAATAGTAAACATGCGATAATCAAGATCCCATATCTCCTTTATACGACCGATGTAAGTAACAGCACCATACACAAGATTGGAGTCTTTGCACTAGCAATCTACATAGTATGTGCAACTAAAGATACTCCACTGCATTGAGTTGTTCTAGACTCATCTCGAGATGTTGTATGAAAATGATACTTATTTATGGCAAAACCGCTATATTTACTAACAACAAAATTAGGCCCTTTGGCCAACCAATGAACATCATCACAAATATCTTCCCCGTCAGCCAAACATTTTCCAACCTAATAGAAAAATATCTAATTAATGTAATTAAAACCAAATAATTAAAAATATTGTAATTCTAACAATATTATTTTAAAAACAAACCTCTTTCTTAAACCAACTAATAAATGTTCGACTATGTTGGCTCTGCAACCATGTACTCTTGCGAGCGTGACGAGGGTTTAGATCCTTCAATTCCAACATATGTTGACTGAAGTGTATTACAAGTTAGAAGAATGTTTTATATGATAGATAATGGTATAAGAGTATACAGTTTCATGTAATTCTTACTCTATATACGACTCCACAACAGCAGTGTTTCGTAATACATAAAGATGAGCTTGATCAAGTAACTGAGCATCTACAACATCGATTGTAGCCTTTCATAAAGGCTTGCTGCTGTGGATTCTTTCATCAACACGTTCATGAGGATTTCCAATTGATTCCGTGGTTTTTAAGTAGTCTGAACAAAATTCTAAGGCCTCCTCCGCCACATAACACTCTGCAATGCAACCCTCGGGTCGATGATGATTTCTTACATACCCTTTAAGTGTTTTCATGTATCTCTCAATTGGATACATCCACCTAAAATGAACCGGGCCACACAACCTCACCTTTCTAACTAAATACACCATCAAGTGAGTCATGACATCGAAAAATGAAGGAGGAAAGTACTTCTCTAACAAACATAATGTTAATACGATGTCACTTTGCAACTTTCCTAGCTTACTAACATCAACAACTTTACTACACAACTCATTGAAAAAATGACACAGGCTTAGGATTGTTCTCAGCACCTTCACATCTAACACCCCTTTGATTGCAAAAGGGAGAAGTTGTTGCATTAGTACATGACAATCATTAGACTTCAAAACATTCATCTTTGAAACATCATTTGACACGAGATTCTTGAAATTAGAGCAATACCCATAAGGAACTTTTATGTTAGACAGGGTATCATAAAATAGATGTTTCTCTACGGAATTCAATGTGGACTTGGCAGGCGGAAGCCAATGCTGATCCCCTTTTGGTTGAGGTCGTAATTCAGTCTTAATGCCCAACGCTTAAAGATATTGTCGTGCTTTTAATCCATCCTTCGTCCTGTGAGGAAAATTCAACGTTGTCCCATAAACACTCTCGATCACATTTTTTTCTATGTGCATGAGATCTAACTGATGGCGAACAGACAACTTCTTCCAATATTCAAGTTCAAAAAAATCAACTTTTTATGCCAAAATTTAGATCTCTCGTCGATACTTTCTTTTTTCTTCTTTGAATTTTCCTTCTTTGGCGTTTCCTTCTTTGACGCTCCCTTCTTTGACTTTATCTTCTTTAACTTTATCTTCTTTGGAACCTTCTTTGTCTTTATCTTCTTACCCCATGTAGTCTCAAATCCCGCCAGACAGTCATAAATATCTTCACCTGATGATGGTTGTGGCATAAAAATGTGCTCATGTTGATTGTTGAAATGTTTTTTCTTTTACGAAAAGGATGTTCAAGTGGTAGGAATCTTCTATGCCCAAGGAAGCATACTTTTTTGGACTTCGGCAACCATTCTGAACAAGTATTCTTTGATCATATTAGAAAAGCATAATAACCTTTGGTAACACATCCCAGAAGATTACCATATGCGGGAAAGTCACTTATAGTCCAAAGTAATATGCTCTTAGATTGAAGTATTCTTTCTTATAAGAATCAAAAGTCTTAATGCCAGTTTCCCACAAGAGTTTTAAATCTTCTATCAATGGTGCCAAGTAGACATCAATATTGTTACCAGGTTGGTTTGGCCCAGATATCAACAGAGTCGACATCATGAATTTTCTTGACATACACAAATAAACGGTTATTTTTATATGTTATTAGGATAACCAGCCAACAACTATGCTTGGAACTTAATGACTTGTGAGGATTGATATCATCAGTAGACAAGGGTAATCTAAGATTTCGTTTTTCTTGTCCGAATTCTTTCCACGTGTTATCAACAAGCTTCCAAGAAGGGGTATCGCGAGGATGAGTAAGCTTCCCATTATTGACCTAACCTTGTGCATGCCAAGTTAAGTAATGTGAAATTTTTGGTATTGAAAACATTCTTCTAAATCTAGGGATGATAGGAAAATACCACAAAACTTTTGAAGGTATGTTTTTTGTATTCTTCTTCCAACGAGAAGTGCCACAAGTTGGACATTGAGAAGCATCTTTATGTTCTTTCCATAATAGAACACAATCATTTTCACATGCATGAATCTTCTCATATTGTAGACCTACTCTTTTTAGCAACTTCTTACTCTCATATATCGAGCTAGGGATGGTATTGTTTGATGGCAAGATATCTTTTAGGACAGACCAAAAAGCATCAAAACTAGCATCAGACCATCCAAACTGACCCTTCAAATTTTGTAATTTCAATAATCCACTAAGTGCATTATACTTTGACCCTACATAAAGTGGCTTATCACATTCTTCAAGAAGTGATTTCAACGAATCAGGTTCTTCGTCTACATATTTGAAGGCATCATGTAGCATATCCTTTGTATAAATAGCATCATGAGGAATCGAATTTTTAGGGCATCTAGAATCACTCTTGAGTTGTTTTTCTACATGGAATGACCAAATCTTATAATTCTCATCGAAGTCGTGGGCAAACAAATGATAACGGACATTATCAATTGAGTGGTGACACAAATTGATGCAATTTACACAAGGGAATGGAATAACATCTAACTTTGGATTATTAGCTTGTGCAAACTCTAGAAAAGCATTCACACCTTCATCATATGCATTTGATAATCTACTAGAAGAAATCCATGACTTATCCATTAACATTTGTGTAATGTCCGTAGATCCGGGCTAGTCAATTTAGAGATAACAGGGGTCGAAAACGACTTTTCGAAAAAAGATTATTTATAATAAATAATCTTAACCAAGTTTTAGAATATGTCTCAAGGGTTCCGTACATATAAAGAATGCCGAAATCCGAGTTATAACGAAGAAACCGGCACGACACCGGGAGGCGTAAATAGTGAATTTAAGTTAGAGGACTTTTTAGCCTTAGGGATCTAAATGAAAGTTGTAGAATATGTCTCCACCTACGCGTGGATATAAAGAACGTCAAAAACAGAGTTCGTATGCAAAAGTTATGGCATTCCAAAGCTTTAGCTTTTAAAAACCCTAAACTAGCTAATTCACGACGTGAAAATTATGACGCTCACGACATTCTATCATAATTCGGAATCTAGAAGTTGCGAGAGGATAAGATCCGATTCACGACGTGAGAATTATGACGCTCACGACATTCTGTCATAATTCGGAATCTAGAAGCTGCGAGAGGATAAGATCCAATTCACGACGTGAGTGTCATAAAAACTTACTATAAATAGCATGCGAGCCATTCCGAAATTCTCACACCTTTCTTCATTTCTTCTCTCTAAACTTTCTCTCTCTAAGGGTTTTAACCCTCCCCTAAGCCTAGGTAATCCCCTAGCACCCTAAGGAAGCCTCGAGGCTCCGGAGTCCCGAGAAAAAGAGTCTTTCGGTTTCGAAACGCTACTCCATATAAAACCCAGTTTTCTTTAAAATCCGTTGTAAGTGAGCTACGCTTACGCAATTTTTAATATAGCTTTCAAATAATTATAGTAATGTTATTAGGTCCTTAAAATAATTATTTGGGCTATTATTATGAGTTATACTAAGTATTATTTAACGCTTATATAATAATAATAATAGCTAGACTTTTAATTAGTCACGGTTGACGTTAGACTAAACCCTAGTGGAATTGATACTAGGTTTTATCGAAGGAAAATTGTTTTGAGAGTATCAAAGCGTTGTCCGAGTGCTGAGTCACCACCTACTAAGGTGATTGTATAGTCACTTTCACCTTACACATATATATGAAGTATTTTCTTTAAAATACATGCTATGTGTAATTATATTAATTGTTTAATTAAGGTGACTGTTGAATAGATGTTTTATACAAGTTTTAAACTGTATATGTATTTTTATCTACATATATGTTGGGTAAAACATGGATAGATGAATTAGATGATGTGTGATGAAATAAAAGGTGATGAGAGGTATCGATGTTTAAGATGATCTAGTCATCTAGCAGAGTATAGACAACGGCCACAGACTATTTTAGATAGTCTAGTGGAACGTTAGCAGACTTGTAATCGGTTGGTATGTTTGATTTATATGTTCATTAGGTGTTTTTGAACTATGTGTTAATCCGTTAGTTCTTCTTTTTGACACTATTATGTGTCGGGGTACGGGAGCGTACGGGAGTACTTTATTAGTATTTTCCCTATACCTTTATTTTGAAGAGATTTGGAGTCTTTGTTTCTTTTATGAAGTGATCAGACTAGCTTCATGAGTCAATGTTTCCATTCTCGATGCCGGATAGGAGTGAAATTGTGGATTATATACCTCATGATATTCAGACCACAGCCTAGGCATTAGTCAGTGTTAAGTATTTTGGTGTTGCGTCTTGGGCTTTTTGTTTTGTAATCGGATTGGGCTTGTCCATCCGTAGTTATCTAGAATAGTT